CCTGGGAGGATCTAAAAATTAGATCCCCTAGAACCATTAGGGGAATTATATAAGGATTATATAGGGGTTATAATGGGTCTATATAGGGGATCTAATTTTTAGATCCTCCCAGGGGTTTGGGGAGACAGACCAAGATCTTTGTTTTCACGAGCCTGTGCAAGCAGCTGCAGTTGCTTGGATCTTGCAGGAAGCAGTTGACCATGCGAGGTGTTGACCTTATCAACCTGGCAGGCGAAGTTTCCGAGCATTTGTATGGCAGGCTTCTCATGGGGAAGCGCCGCTTAGCTGTGACTTCAGAAGGACGCCGGGGTAGCTTGGGATACAATTGTGTGTTGCGCTGACTCAGGTGTCTATGTTTGCAAGCATGATGCAGACTGTTGTTCTGCAAATGTGTCCGCCTTGGTCTAGAGTGTAGAAGAAACGACGTGACAGTCTGGTCGAACGCCCTTTCTACGATTCAGGCCATGTAGCGCTGTAAGTCACACATCGGTCCAGGTGTGTTCTGCCGATGTACGGGGAGATGCGCAACCGATCGCCAGGACAGCTTAACCCTTGCTTCCAAAGGGAACCAGATTAGACCTGCCAGGAAGCTTCGCGAAGGTCATCTACTGTGGCTTTGCCATTCTCTTCGTTGTTTGCTTCCCTGGCGCTTGTTTCCTTTAGCAGCAGGCTGAAACAGCAGATGATGTTTGGCCAGGTGCCAGCTTTGCTCTTCTGGGCTACCTGACCTTCGGCCGCCTGCTTGCACATTGCCTCCACCACTAGCTCGCCCCAAAACACGGTGGGCTGCGAAGTTCATTCCTGTTGTTGTTCCGAGTTGTTTCTGGGCATGTTCTGGCAGCACGAGATGTCATCATCACTCGGTTGCAGACCCTCCCCTGGGATGGCGGTAGAGCGAATGGCCAAGGAGCTGGTGTCAAGTCAAATGTCCTGCTGTCGCTGCCGACAAGCCATGAGCTTGCAACTACCACACCACCCTCAAAACCAAGCGTTCTGTCGATGCCCTGAGGCCGGGCAGGCAACTTGGCCCGTCTTTGCGCAGGGGCGTGGCACTCATTGCTTGGACCAACTGCCCAGAGAGGTGTAGCAGTGTAGCAGTAGCGCTGAGATCTTCAGGCCAGTGTTGTGGGGGTCTGGGGCCCAGCCTGCTGTTGGCAAGCAGAACTCGCAACGTGCATCTCCGCTAGGTCTACCCCATTATACTCAAGCCGATGATTGCCACGATGCATCATCAAGGACTCTAAAGCTGTACCAGTCAAGCGGAGAGATTGGAGTCACACAGCTTGGCTACATGCAAGTCTGGCTGGTGCGTGAGGAAGTTCAGAGGATCCAGCAGCCTCGTATTGGGCCACAGGCCACGGTGCTGTTGGGCGCGTGACATGCTTTATGCGGAGTTCAGTGAAACGTTGGCAAGGTGCTGTGGTGGCAGGGGCTGGGAGCTAAGCAAACCAGGTTTTGCTACATGAAACCAGCTTTGAACAACAGGTGATGGTTACCTCTTTGTTCTTGTCTGACCTCGGGAAGCTGAATATCCTGAATGGAGCAGTGTCCATGGGTGCCTTGCCTGCAGATGCTGCTGCTATGCAACCTTACCTGTGATGGGTTGTCCATCAGAGGTGTCTTTGTTGCCGTTGTTCCCTTCCTGGTCGGGTCGCGGACCCGGCTGCGCCGACTTACCAAGCTGACCGAAGAAGAAGGGTTTTGGTAAATGCAGGTGTGCAAAGCCAAGCGCCAGAAAACAGAAATGCGAAGGTGATAAAGACACACCCGGACCCAAACGAAGACAAGCAGCTTGATCAGAACTAGCCCGTGCGTAACTGGTGGGTGCAATCAAATCAATTTTTCAAAGATTTTTCGGTAAGATTTTTGCGGCAGCCCATAGGACATTGGCTGGGCACAACCACACAGTAAAACTCAGCATGGACATTTTAAGCTCCAGCCATGGATGTAGTTTCCCTTTCGAACATGGACAGTATAGGCCATGGTGCAGAGGCAGAATTACTATAAGTGTAGTTTCCATTTTATTTTCCATTATCCCAATATAACCCCAATATACCATGGTAGTCTCCGTTTTATTTTCCATTATCCATATACAACCTATGACTATGGCCTGCTGCAGCAATTCATGCACACGGTTCTGCATTGTAATCTTGCAGACTGTCTGGTAGTTTCCCAAAAGAGGGGGACCCCAATATAGACTCCAATATACTATAATCCTTATTATGGGGACCCCCAAAAACGTACCCCATAATTTTGGGAAACCCCCGTCTGTCTGCAGTGACGACTTGGCTATGTTTGTCTAGACCCAGAGCATTCGAAGCCTGGTCTGAGCCAGAAATCTGTAACCACTGGAAACTACTATAGTATATTGGGGTTGTATTGGGATAATGGAAAATAAAGTGGAAACTGCTATAGTATATAGGGGCTATATGGGGATAATGGAAAAGAAAATGGAAACTACCATGGTATATTGGGGGTATATATGGATAATGGAAAATAAAATGGAAACTACGATAGTATAATAGGGTATATATAGGGGCTGCATAGGGATAATGGAAAAGAACATGGAAACTAGCATGGTATATTGTGGCTATATGGGGATAATGGAAAATGAAATGGAAGCCACCGTGGTATATGAGGTGGTTACCACTGTAACCATGAAACATTGATACGACAGGTGCAACCTCCTGCAGCGCGCGGAGTCTGCGAGGATGGTCCACGACTGAGCTTGAGGGTTTGTATTTGGATACTGGAAAATAAAATGGAAACTGCTATAATAGGCTAATAGGGTACATATTAGGGTTATAATGGGGTATATATTGGGGATATATTGGGATACTGGAAAATACAATGGAACCTATTAGAATAGGCTAATAGGGTAGGTATTCGGGTTATAATAGGATATATATTGGGGATATATTGGGATACTGGAAAATAGAATGGAAACTACTATAGTATATTGGGTTATATATAGGGATAATGGAAAATAGAATGGACACTACTATGGTATATTGGGGTAATATTTGGATAATGGAAAATAAAATCGAAACTACTTTGGTATATGAGGTGATTGCAGCAAGCCGCCATTGCTGACCTTCAGTTTTGAATTGACGTCCTTTCGCCTGGCGCGTTGTCCCATGACTGTCCAAGGCCCTCTACTGCCTGCTTATCATGGGATTGCTGGGTAGTGTGCTTGCCCTCATCCTTGCGCGAGCCTCAGCTTGCACCTGCGGGCATGGGCCTGATCCATGTGTTGTGCACCCCAATTGCTGTCCTTGAGAGGATGACAACTATTCCAAAGAGCTTGCTGCTGTGCAAGCCTTATCATTGCGCATCATTGACACGGATGCCAGCAAGAGTCGCAGCTGCACACCGAGGCCTGTGTTTGGCCAGTGAAGTAATTGTCCAGTTCTACTTGTAACTTCTTTGGAGCAAGGGCTTCGCTGTACACATGTGTCTCACCAGCAACCTGCTTAAATTGCAGCCATAACATGTGACGTGGAAAACCTTGCGGGTTTCGCGCTATGACATGCGCTGCTCGAACGTGATTTGGAAGCTGCCATCAAGTAGAACTGGCTGGCAGTTGGCTTGAAGTGTGGCCATCTCAAGTGCAGCATGCAATGCACGATCAACCCACTTTCCGTGATGCTATCCTGTTCTGGCTCAGCTTGGGAGAGCGCCGAATCCTTGGCCTCTCATCATAAATTCACGTGGCCTGTCAGCAGCTATCCACATCTTTTGGAAAGTCTTACTTCACTTTGTAATGCCGACCGTGTGAGGCGACCTTACTACAGAACCTTGATGAGGACAATTGCAGTGTTTTGTGTTGAATAGCATGCAGGCACTAAGTAGCTTTCCTGCCAGGATCGCTGCTAGCGAACCATACTGGGCCCTACTTGCCACGACCCCAGCTATTAACGGCTAGCCTCCACTAGATGCAGGAGTTCGGGTCAGAATCTGTCTAGAGTAAGAAAATGTAAGAAAACTCCTTACAGAATCGGGAAAGAGGACCTGTTGCGGAACCCAGTTCTGCTTGGTCATGCAGGTTACGTTGGCAATCAGCCGCGCTACAGCAAACAGTTCCTGTAGTGTGGCTGGCTTCCAGGACCAGTGGCTTGGCCTTGCAGAGTGGGGGGGTAGGGTTTAGGGTTTAGGGGACGGGGGGCGGTTTTCTCGAAATAGGGGGTCCGGAGTACTCTCAGAAAAATCTGGGGATAGATGGTAATATGGATTCTGTGGCTGCCTGTTAGGGATGCTATGATCTTGAGAAACTTTAAAAAAGACACGGTCACCGGCATTTGTAAAAAACTTGCAGCAAGCCCGCTGAGGAAGGCACCTGTCCTTCTGCAAGTTGGTGCAACAAACAGTCGAGTCTCTCTTACGGATCGTCGGCTTCTTGGAGTTGGGATGCCATTCTTATATGAGCAGAGCACCAGAGATCACCTTGAAGACAGGACTTGAAAGTGAGGTCGCAGCAAAGATTGCAGTGTCTCTGAGGGTAAGATTTCTCGCCTAGAGTGCGCTTGCACCATTGATTTTCCCCATTTGCGAGGCCTCCTTGCTGCCGGTGATGCTGCGGTGGGGCTCTCAACCAGCGCTAAGGTAGCTAACAGCTTACTCTACCATACCGGGGACATAACAGGAGGGCCATGGAGCCTGGTTGCGAAAAACAAATAAAAGGTTGTTCTATGTGGGCCCGTGCCTGAGGGCCGCGGTGCCACGCACTTGGGACCGCCTGCGATTGCAATGTCAAACCCTTGGACCATCACAGAGCTTTGCTCTCTACACCTGTGCAAAATCCAGCAAAATGCCTGAAGGTCGGCCATTGCCATGGCACAGCGGCTCGTATGGGGGCAACACGAGGACTGAGCCTCTGTTTAGCTTTGGATGTTGTCACCGCGCCTGGATTCGAGGAGCTTCCATCTCCGAGGCTGCTCTTACAGATGCAGCAGGAGGCCGGAGTCCTTTTGTTGCTGCGGATCTGACTGAAAGTTCTTTCCGCGAGGTTGCAGACAATGTTGTAACTACGGCGCCGACAAGTACGAGTGGCAAAGACACCGCTGTGATACTGTCGGGCCCCCACTGCTACAACATTCATTTTGCAGCTACAGCTTCCAGACCGCGCTGAAAGGGTCGGCATCTTCATTCCATGCTTTTCTCTTGACATTGCAGTGCATCCATGCCAGTTGAATCCCAAGTCCCAGTTGAAGCCCAAGTCCCGAAAGGTCAGTGGTTGTGGGCGCGTACTTGCCTCAGCACGAAGTCATACCGTCACCTAGCGTCAAGAGGGACACTTTGGGGGCTGGCAGACCTTCTTATGTGGCATTTGCTGCGGTGCTAAAGATAAATCCTCTGTGTGTGTCAACTGCCATTGCGGGCATCCGTATATGCTCATGAGGAGACATGTTGCTAGAATTGCAGCGACACGGTATTTTAGGTGCATGTATATCCATGGTCTCCAGAGTGGTGTTGGTGAGCATGGACGTTCCCACGCAGTAATCATTCGGCTGTTCTGAAGCACCCTTACAATGATAGCGTTTGCTATGGGGAAGCGTTGCGTAAACAGATACTGCAGGCAGATTCGTTTTCAGGCTTGCCTTTCAGCACAGTTGTTCAAAGGACAACTAGTTATGAAGCTTACAAGGAGCCCTCCTGGGCAGTGGCACCCCGCTCCTTTCGCAGACATTTCACAAGAGACAACTTGCGAACAGGTTGCGTGCAAGGCCAGCCTCTTTGGCCCAACCAACGAAAGTTCGGAAGCATTGGGAGAGGCAAGCGCGTTTTGGAACCATTGCTTCTTGGAGGCATGCAGGTCGAGACTCTTGGTGGCGGGGAGTCAGGCCTAGGCCACTCAGCAACATCAAACGAAAGTGTCCCAACCTTACAAGTACGGCAACCAGCCAGTCAAGAGTTCTCTCAGACGTTGAGCCGAAAAGGATCGAAAAGGGTGCAGCCCTGTGCCCCGGCTAAATCATCAGCCAGTAGAACTTCCGCCGCATCCACTAGAGATTCCGCTCATGCTTGCCTCGAAAAGTGCTTGGTGAGATGAGACTGGATTTGGCGACAAAAGGGAGCGACCTTTCTAAGCATGCTTGACAATGGACTACAAATCACATCAGACTTGGGCAGAAAACGTGGTTGCCCACATTTCAGGAATTTCTGCAGCACGTAGCTGGCATCAGGGCAAAGCTCAAGTCAAGCTGGCCTTCATTAGCTTGCATGGCTTGACCTTTAGCACACGAAGCCAGCAGGAGATGCGAGTTTTTTGCTTGTGTAGGGACTACGCAACATCCTGGGAGAAATTTGACAAGGATGTCAATGATTCGTTGCAATGAAGGGGGGGACAACTTGCGACCCAAAAAAGGAGGTCGCCTCAGACCTGCAAAAGCATATCGTGTGTTCAAAGTCAGTTTGTAGGTTGTTGTTTGACGGCATTAGTTTTTCTTCCTAGCAGAACTCATTGAACAAGTGACGCAGGCAAGTTCATGAAAGTTCCATGTGATCGCAAACTCTCTGGCAAACCACATGTTGCAGCAAGACAGGGTAGACTTGGCACCACCTGAAGCATGCATTTCATTCAGCCGCTGAGCGTCGGGGAATGTCGCGCAACGCAAGCTCAACAGAATTCACTTGACACTGGGGGTCAAGATATGGTATGGTGCATTCCTGCTGTGCTTGAGGGCAGCTTTGGTGCTTGCCATCGGCATCGTGGCCTGCTTCCAAGTGACTGTGTCATGATGATAGCATGAGCTTAGCCAACTGGTGGCACAAGGTCTGCCTGGTCACATACCAGCCCAAGCCGGAGTACAATGATGCAGAGCGCGATGCTTTGAGTCAGCTTGCGCTGTTGCATACAGTAGCAAAGCCTTGCTGAGCCACAAGACAGTGATTTCGGCTTTCGTTTCAAAGCGGAGGCAAGAAGTGTTGAGGACAAGCTTGCAGCAGCAACATCATTCTAGGCTGCGCACGCGGCTTTGCCGAATTAGCTATGTTGCGGTCACTTTTTTGGCATTTTGGCTGGTTGACCTGCCTAAGATGTAAAGCTGCTGTTCTCCAACAAATTGAGGCAGGAGGCCTGCGCGTGCTGACGCTGGCCGAGTGAACCATTTCGGAGTTGTCCATCAGCACGCTTTCAACTTTATGCAAATATTGCCAGCACGACAATCGAATCATGTTACCTGTTGCCCGAATGTCAGGACGTTTTGCATGTCTCGATTGTCAGATTCGAAGCAAGGTCGAAAGTGCTTGATGCCTGCTGTGAGCATGTCCGGGGTCAAGGGATGAGTGCACTCCTCTGTGTGGCTCAAGAACATCAACATTGCAGATCGGAAGGAAACGCAAGAAGGTTTCTCGTTGCGATTCTTGCCAATCGGCTAGGCGCGTAGACGAAGGAACCAAAGAAAGAAACAGCCCTTCGTCCTGGATCAAGCCTCGAGCGCGGCGCTATGGGGTTAAGCGGAGCAGCTGCTTCTGGCCACATGGCCTTTGACTGACTCGAAGTCTCCGTTTCAAAAGGCTCGCATGTTGTGATGCTACATGCAGCAGTGGTAGATGAAGTGGTACTGTGAACTGTTGCAGGGCAAGGTCAGCAAGATGGGCACATGGACGGCAAGTCTTTTTCAGAACATTCTGGAGCCTTGCTCGAGAATGTCTCAGGATCACTCCTCATGCAAATGAAATTCAGGGGAGAGTTTTACCAGAAGCTCGGGTGTTTCACACGGAGTTGTTGCAGAAAACGCCTGCCGCAAGCCCAGTTGCACCAAGGACTCGCGTCGGGAGAAGTATGGCGATGAGAATGCCAAAACCCTAACCAGCATGACACACATGGGTGGAATCTTGGAGAAGAGAGGCCGGGCCAACAATGAACTGAACATGAGCCACAACACTGGAGGGTCCAAACCAGGCTTCGGAACGCCTGCTGCCATTTTGGTCAGGTCAGCTGAATGATGCCCTTGACCATTACGGTGAGGCGATGCATTATCGGCGCGAGGTGGGAAGGATAGGAAGGTCTCAGAATCGTGTTTGACAGTTTGGTTCGGCTGGCCTGGTGGAGGTCCTGGGCGATAAGCACCCGAAGACTCTCCAAAGCATCGGGAAGATGGCTCCTTGACATCGAGAGTATTGTCTTGTACAAGCAAGCCCTGACCTTGCTAGCTGTACTTTAATTAATAATTCTTCTGTCCTGCATATGGAGTGTGCTCGCGATTCTGAGGCTGCCATGTGCAAGCAGCAGCCTGTCAGCAAAAGGATCATGAATTGTAGGGCTACTTCCAACATGAAGCCACCGCAATGAGGCACGGGCAGCACTATGAGGCTTGGGAACAGCACCTGCAAGCTTTGGCTTGCTGTTGGCTGTGGCAGCATTTGGGGTGACCTTTCCGATTACTACATGTGATCTTATGATCTGTAGTTGCTATATGTTGTATAAACGGAGATGGCTTTTGTTATCAGATGTTGTATGGTGCAGGCCCAGATCCTGGCGCAAGAAGCGCTTTTCGGCTCTCGCAAGATGTTTGGTGAGCAGGCACTTCCTGCCAGTAAGCGTAAGCGCTTGCCCTCATCAAGTGTCGCAACAGGCACCCGATACTTTGGATGCGCTGAACAATCTTGGAGCTGTGTGGAAGGCAGCCACTGGTAACAGTAAGTAAGCCTGGCGGGGCTGCTCATTTGAGCATCCGAGTTTGACCCAGCTTCTAAGTTGAAATGGCTGCTATGTTAGCAATGCTTGCCGTGCTTGCAGTGCTTGCAGGCGCAGGGGGAGTTCAAAGAAGCGGAGAAGTGCTTCAGAGATGCCTACAAGCGGCGGCAGGATTCTGCACAGCATGCAGTGGGCAGTTCTGTGCATCCCGGCATTGTTGAAGCACTCGGCTCTTGCAAGGAGACCTTAGGGCCAAAGCACCCTGACACGCTGACTAGCCTCAACAACCTGGCATGCACTGTGGATGAGTTGGGCAATGCCAAAGAGGCTGGCAAATTGTACCAGCAGTGTTTAGAGATCCGTCGAGATGTCCTTGGACGTTCACATCCCGACACACTGACAAGCATGAGCATCTTCACTGCAGGTTGTGTTAGGTAGGGATTCGGGTGCAAGATCTATAGTGCTTGCCTTTCTGTTCCAAGGTAACCTAGCACTCTTCCTTCGCGCAAATGGCCAGAAGACGGAGGCCGAGCCACTGCTTGTGAAGGTGCTGGATGGTCGACGCAAGATGTTTGGAGTCAAACACCCTGACACCATCATCAGCATAAACAACTGCGCTGCAATTGCCAGAGACGCTGTGCCAGACCTTGGAGCGGAGTAAGTTTGTAGATTAAGACGGGGTTTTCAGAGGATATCTTCGTGAAGCGCTTAGTGTTGGTGATTTTGTTGGCTGCCACGTGCAAACCAAGGATGATGCACAAGAGCCTTGGCATGGCTGTGTGTGTGGGTGTGACCAGAAGATGCAATTAGACATGACAGCATCCTTGGGGCAATTTTACCTATGCAAGGACTTTCGAGAAAGCAACGACACGCATGAATTGAAGAGAGCCTTCGAGAAAGCCAGCACTCTCCTCAGAGAGGCGATGGCATTTTTTCCAGCGGGAACGGCCACGTGTTGATAGTTGCTGTGGCAGGCTGTCGCCGCATCTCGGAAGCATCTGGGCAAGCGGCATCCGCTTGCACTGCAACTTGGATGGAAGCATCAGTCACGTGTAAACACTGGCGGCACCCTCATGGTCACTTGACGCTTCTTTGGAAACGCTGCGCTGCAAAGGAAGAGCATGAACAATCTGGCAGCTTGGATGAAAACAGGTTGAATGTTTGAATGTATCTATTCCGTGCAGATGCGGCAAGCTTTCGTCCTTGGTGTGCTAGGCTGGCTTGCTTCGTGACAACGGCAACTATGATGAAGCCGAGAAGCTATATGAAAAAGTGGTGGACGGAATGCGCTCGTCTCAAGGCTTCTATCACCTTGTGGCCAGCCTGCATAGTAGATGTGTAGAAAGCAACATTTGCTTTTGAAGTAGACATGTGCGTCCGCTTGATGCGGCTTGTCGTCTGCTAAGGACACCTTGACTGCTATCAACAACCACGCAGGTGTGTTGAGACTTATGGGCGATGCCCTGCCTGCACGTTCTGGTCTCTGCTTGCTTGAATCGCAACTTGTTTCATAAGTGGCCACATGCCAGGCACAACGTGCTGAAGGGCTTTACAAGGATGTCCCGCTGAACCGAGTTGTTTTCAAATTTTGCCATGCTGTGCCAGACTTGAGAAGCGTGCAGGAAGCAGCTGAAGGGATTGTGAAGAAGCTCGGGGACACGCACCCCGTCAGCTGGACTCTCAGTGTAACAGCTGTGAGGATAGCCAGACAGCCAGAAATGAAAGCTTGAAACCAAGACCAAATGCGGCTGCCTGTAATGGAATTGCAGGCAATGCTGACTGACCATGACCGTTGCCTTAAGGCCTGTCGACCTTGTACAACTGGGCATTGACCTTGGACGAACTAGGCCGCTGCAAGCGCACGGCAATCTAATTTGCATAATGATGCCAAGGATTTCTATCTTGAATCATATGACCTGTACGCACATCATACATTCCTGATGGGTCAGATCTTCTCGCAGAAGCTGATGTCTTGATCTGAAGCTTTTCTATGGCCGGTCAACTTGAAATCTTGAGCCGTGTTTTCTGACTTTGAGAAGGTGACTTCGAGAGCGCAATTCCGCTTTATCTTCATCACTTGGACCACGGGCTCTACTCTCCAGAGTCCGCGGCTCAATCCCCAACAGAGATACAGAAGGAAGTGGAGACTGTTGATGGATGAAATCTTGCACCTCCTAGGGGCCTTAAAGTACTGTAATTCCTAGGACCTAGGACTTTAGGGACTTAAGGTGGTGCAAGATTTCCTCCATCAACAGGATGTTGGAGTCGAACAGGTTGCCGTGTCAACTGTAAGCAGGAACGCTAGCTCAAATGAGTAGTATTTTATTTGGGGATACTATGGTACCCAATAATGGAGAATCAAATGGAAAAGAACATGGAAAATGAAATGGAAGCTGGGATTATATAGGAGAGGATTATCTGAAATGAGTAGTAGTGCATTTAGGGATACTATGGTACCCAATATAGAGTAAGATTCTATCCTCCTTTTGGGTATAGTATTTTTAAATAAGGAATATTATCTTACTAGGTTCAACCACCAAAAAACACTGCTCAAATCTCCTTAGGCAGCGCGTTGCTACAGCGCGCCAGCTGAGCGAGCGCATGCGAAAGGCCGGCAAGCTTGACGAGGCAGGTGTCAAACCAAAGCCGACCATATCAGAGCATTTTGGATTCTTGCTTCTCTGTCTTAATGCATCAAGCATGGCTGACTGACATGGTGAATTTCAGGGTCCAGCAATCCATGTGGTTCCTCATGGCACTGCCTCACGAAAAAGCCATGCCTAAGGGAGATGGACGTAGGCAGCTCGAGCTTCTCTCAGACCCACAAGCAGCGACCGCAGCAAAACAGCGGTTGCCGGAAGAAGGGCAAAATCCTAAGCCAGCAAACGGACAACCCGTGTCTAGTCACAGACCAGACCACCAAGAGGAATTGAGCTATAAGCTGGCCTTGTGGCGTTTGAGGATACTGAGTTTAGGGTTTAGGGTTACAGTGTAGCAAATCAAAAAAGCCAGAACTACAACTCAAAAAGGGGACGGCTCATTTCTGTAAAAAATGGCAGAGATTGGTAGTAGTGCACGCATAGATATCAGTTTATCAAAGTAGTTTTCATTTGGATGGTTCACGTAATCTTTTCCACTGAAAATATGCTGTTTTGGGGTCAGAGCTTCCAAAGCCGTCCAAAGCCTTGAGGAATAAGACTTGCCGGTCTCTGTATTAGGATGCTGGCTTCGGTGACGGATCATGTACGCACGGGTTGACACTTCAGACCTATGATCAGCAACACATCCATTTTAGTTTCCATTATCCCTTTATAAACCCAATATAGGGCCCTATAATCCCTATATAGCGCCTGTATAATCACGAAGTCAGTCTTGGAAAGCTTGCCGCAGTAGTTTTCCTTGATAGCCCGTAAGGTCTTGTTCAATCTTGGCCAGTTGTCCAGTGCCTTCCAAAGACAACCACCAGCGCTTAAGATCCGTATCGCTTAAGAATAAGAAGTTTCTTCTCAGCTCGATGTTTTGGGCGGTGGATGCGGGTCTGGAAGCTATGTACATCTAGACTTTCTTAAGACAGTCGGGGTGCTGCTGCGTATGCGTCAGTCAAACCAAGTAAACCTGTCGTCAGCTGCTTCATACCAGTCCGCTCTGTTAGCCTGCTCCTCAGGCACGCGATCTTCGTCGTCGCATGAACATCCGCTAGCCCAGCACAGTGCCTGGCTGATGCAGCAAGACTAGAAAGGCATTTCGTTGTGCAGAACATTCTCGGAGGATGGGTATGACACGAATAACTTGTGCTGGACACCAACTATGGCAACAGAATTCTAAGAGCAGTTCCAAGACAATGCACGTGCAACAAAATTAGCAGTGGGCCGGTGTGGCCCACATTGTCTTCTGCGTTGTGCGCGAAGCGTCAGGCATGAGACGAATCCGATTCTGACGGCAAAGCCGTCCAGAGAGTCATGGACGCAGAAATTATTGAAAGACCAGAGATGAGCATGCGACGGTTCGCTTGGCCTGAGGCTGGGTTGTTTTTGTTTCCTATGCTGCGTTGCGTCCGCTGCCAGTGGCTCAAATCTTGAGCAACATCTTATGGCGCTACAACAGCTCTGACTGCTAGGACGGTGCAGGGTCAAGATGGTCAGAGCTTTGATGTCCAGCGGTGGAGCTTCTTTCCAGTTGTGTCTCCTTTAGGACAGCTGAGCGCCCTGGGAGCCGCATCCTGGTGCCTTGGAAGAACCTGTTGATCTTCCCAGGGCAAGTTTCGTATGGTCTAAAGCTGGTCCATCGAGTCTTCTGGCAGAATCCAAGTTGAAAAGTTGGTGCTGCTGCATATCTTCGGGCATAAATTAGCACACACATGACTAGCCAACGAACGCTTGCTGGGTACATATGCAGTGGCATCGTGCCCTGCCAGGATGCGTGGTTGCACCTTATCTTCCCAGCGCCTGCGCAGGCACGGCACATGCAGAGACATGGCATGCCGTTTTTTCACGTTGGGCACTGGCAACGCTGTTGAAATGCATACCTCAGGTTGAGCGTGTTCAGATGACAAATTACATCCTGTTTCAGTGTTTACCTCATACCTAGAAAGGCAGCCCGCCCAAGAACGTGAGCCGGGGGATCCGGGATTAGACGTGTGCAAGTACTAGTGGCCAAGAGCTTCTTGACAACATGGCTATCACCCCCACATGCTCCGCGAATTTTGCGATTCAGGGCGGTTAGCTGATACAACGGGATGAACACCGAAAACCGACCTATGACGGATCTGCCAATCAGCAGGCCGCTGCTATTTGCCCTCGCGGCTGCCGGGGTCGCTGGGGCGGCAGCGCCGGAAGGAGGCGTTTCACGACACATACCGTCCTGCGCGGGTCTCAGCTGTAATTGCAACAAGTGTTCATGCCGTCTTCGGACTCAAAGCAACTTTGCATGAGTGAAGCAATGAATCAAAGAGTTCATGACCACAGACCTCACAGAAGTCCAGGTCCTGCCAATGTTGAGCAGGGCATGGTTGCAGGCATTCAATGCTTTCTGTTTGCTTTTGTGTTGAAATCAACTTTGAGTTGATGATTCTTTGCCTATCGGCATGTGCCAACGTTGCCATAAGGGTCGTAGTAGCAGCCTCAGTAAGAGTAGTTACTAAGCCAACCTCTCAATTGTTCAGGTTCGCAGCGCCTACCCCCGCCCCAGGTTACATGCGTTGCATGCCAATACATGTAGCAGTTATTTGCCTGGGGACAAGAAGCCTTGAGACCGATGTAGAAAAATGCATTATAGGCTAGGCAGGGCGGCTGGGTTGGGGGAGGGGGAAGGGGAAGGAGAGGGGAGGCTCCAAGGGGTGAGGACCTGGAGGGGTTGTATCCACTCTTCTGGAGGGACAAGTGACCTTGACACTCATTGGCGCCCATGAAGCTACATTACCATGTAGTTTCATGGGGGGCCGGGGAGCTTCGTGGGGGGAAATGGGGAGCAGAAGAGGTCAACAAAGTGGAGGGAAGATGGCAAAGGATGAATTCCGCGGTGCCACCCTAAAAGGGTTGGTGGCTGCATGCTTGCAACGGAAAGGGGCTGCCCAAAGAGTCGAAAGGGCAACATGTTTTGTGTGAGCAGGCAGTGATTCGGGAAGCACCGGCAAAAGGCAGGTTGGTGCATAAGTAGGCTTCTGCGGTAGGAGTTGCGTTACATTCCGCTGGTGACTGCTAGTGGACTGCTTGAGAAGGCCGGCAATGCTGCTACAGATGACGTCACCACGGCACCAGTCAACACCGGTTTATGAAGAATCTCGACAGAATGGGCTGGCTCTTGTTGCTGCCAGACGTTTGCAAGCCTGTTTGATTGACACGAAGGACCATGAAATTTCAGAGCAAGAAGCTAGAGAAGCTCAAGAGGTAACCCAGCTTTGCAGAAAATAGCTGAAACATGCGCTGTGTGTATGTCAGCTTTTGATCAAATGGGTTGTGTAGCAACAAGCAGGCTGCTGCAGCTGCTTCAGGGAAGGAGCTGAGCTCGCAGTGGCCTCAGCTGCGTTATATGGGGACAATGTTATGCAGGGGTTCTATTGGCATGATGGAAAAGAAGATGCAAACTACTATAGTATATTGGGGTTATATTGGGGTTCTATTTGGAAAATGGAAAAGAAAATGGAAACTACTATTTAGGGTTTAGGGTTTAGTATTTATGCAGCTAAGAGACAAAGGTATTAGCTGAGCCCTTTGGATGCACAGCTCGGGTGTTCAAATATCATCATGTTCAAGCAGGTCTCCAGCTTCGCAGGAAAAGGAGCCCTTTTGGCGACTCAAGTGGTGACTCCGCTGCAATGAGGGCTCTTTCGACATATGCAACAACCGTTTGTGCGAAACAGTGGGCATCCGAGGAATCCGTACACATCGGGGATAGGCAAAGAGCCTAGTTTTGCCAGAAAAGTTGTCCAGAGATGCACAGGGCCACTGGGCACAGTGGTTGAGCACCTCAGGGCGGCTGTCCGACTCCAGTGTACTGGTCCTGCCTGCAATGGCCCTGATATCAGTTATCTTCAGCTGCTCCATCGTGGTCATGGCCTGAGGTTTTCTGAAACGGCACGAAAAAGGAAAAATAAAATGGAAACTACTGTAGTATAGTACTTTACAATATGGGATTTTATAGGGATAATGGAAAATAAAATAGAAACAACCGGTATTTCAGGCCAATTTCAAAGCAAGCTTAAATCAGGTGTGCTTCGTGGTTTCCTATCGACCGCGCCGCGGGAAGAGCTTGGACTCACAGTTTGAGCCCATGAGGCCGCGCGACTGAGTGCACTTTAGTAGGTTCCACTGTCTTTTCCATCATCCCAATATAACCCCAATATACTATAGTAGATTCCATTTTCTTTTCCATTATCCCCATATAACCGAGCCAACCCAGAAATATGCACCTTGGAGCGACAATGCTTCGTTTTTCTGGACCGCAGACGCTGCGCCGTGCCCTAAACCATGTCCGGCATTCTCAACTCTTCTAATCCAGTATGGGGCAGCCAATGCCAAACTTCGCGGCGGAAGGGAGTTCCAGAGAGATGGTGTCGCAGCTTTTTCTTGAAGGTAGTGGGAAGTCCTCTACTACAGAGTAGGACAGGCTTTTGATCTTATAAAAAGTACCTGCTTGAACGCGGTCCCAGGCCTCCCTAGTTGTCCTTACCATGTGCCAGACTTAACCAGGTTATATAGGGGTAATAGAAAAGAAAATGGAAACTACTATAGTACAATAGGGTATATATAGGGGCATATATGGGGATAATGAAAAGACAATGGAGACTACTAGCGTGTAGAACAGAACGTGACAACATGTCAGTCTGTTGCAAGTCTCGCCCTGTCCCCAACAGCACCACCACAGCGTCATGTGATTGTGTCGTCCTACTTCAGCGAAGATTCCTACCAGTAACGAACTATACTAGTTTCCATTTTCTTTTCCATTATCCCTATATAACCCCTATATATACCCTAATTTACTATAGTAGTTTCCATGTTCTTTTCCATCATCCCTAGATAACCCCTATATATGCCCTATTATACTATAGTAGTTTCCACGTTCTTTTCCATTACCCCTATGTAACCTGGGATGACAGTCTAAACTGCGAGTAGTTCCTCCCGACTCCAGCAGTCTTTGGGTTGCTTCTGCTTTAGTGGAAAAGAGCATGGAAACTAGTATAGTATGATAGGGTATATATAGGGGTTATATAGAGATAATGGAAAAGAACATAGAAACTATTGTATTTCATTATTGATAGGAATCCTGGCGGCAGGTTAGGATTGCCCCCTGGCTATGGTTGCAAGCCTTTGCGATCAAATTGCTGGCTAGGGTGCCAGCCCAAGATGATGACTTCCAAAGCAAGCTAGATGCCGTGTATCTGCACGTAAGGTCATAGTATGCCATTTGCCCAACACATCGCCGAGAGGCCGGCCGGGTTCCGTTGATTGCCACCGTGGTCAGGAGAGCTCCAGACTTCTGACCCTGGAATCCACATGGCTTACCTAATTTTGGTGGGCATCTCGCTTGGCATTCTTTCTTTTCATTTTTTTGGTTCACACCTCCTCTTGGCTTCCTGGCTCCCTGTCATCATGGCTTCTTGCCTTGCAGGCTTTCAGCATGTCTGGATTTTCTTCTTTTCGGATTGGCTTCTGCTCTACCATGCTCTACCACTCGCATTACCCCGTCATCAACAGTCCTATCATTGTTACTACCCAGCTACTACCCTGAGTGTTCCCATTCGTACGTATCTCTACTACCGTTTCTGCGCTGCTCGTACAACTGGTAATACCACCACAGCTTTGATTGGGGGGAGATGGTGCTTTCCCTGCCCTGCAACCCTTCCCTAAGAATCGCGCATCCAGCAGAGAATCGATCAGTTATGGATCCGGGGCTTGGTTTCTTTCAGTGGGCCGCGCTTGGCTTGTCCGCAGCGTGGGAGGTGTTGGGAGGGTTGCTACCCTGCTCTTTATGGTCATTCAATCCTGGTAGGGAAATGACATAAAGTGACAGCTGTGCTGTATTCTCGATGCCAGAGATGACAAGCAGTATCAACTTTAGGCAACGGTTACCTGGCCATATCTATCAGCTGGCATCTTACTCTTGTCACTTCTGGTCGTTTTGCCAGGATTGCCTTGTTAGGATTGCTGCAATCATTACTCTTTGCATTGATTTCTGTCTGCTTGCCATCATCACCTTGACAGC